TTCACTATTAATGAACATCTGTCCTGCAAGATCTGTTGCTTCTACTCAGACTCTGTTTACACGATGACTATTTCACCCCAGCAGATACAAACTAACTACATGAATATTGTCTTGTGGAGTGATTCACCCATTACTCCCTTTCTTTTCCAAATTGTAGGAAGAAATCGACACATCAAAGCTCTTTGAATGGTATGATGGACCTTTGGTTATGGCCATGAAGGAAGATGGCTATTTTCTCTTGGATGAGATCTCCCTGGCTGATGACTCTGTCCTGGAAAGACTTAACAGGTATGTGGTTGAGAGGTCTGCCTGTGTTTTGATATTTTTGAAGGTAATAGTTTTCATAGATAGTAATTGTAGTGCATAAGATTGTTCCTCATAAGTGCACTGTAAATATTTGAAAATGATAACGAGTTACTGATTCTCTTGGCTTTAGCATTCCGGGAGCTTCTTTGAGACTGTCAGTGATCAGAAAGACATGGGACTGTGGGATGGCAGGGCTAAAATAAGGTGCCTATGTTAAAATAAATTTAAGTCAAATTTGTGGCCAGTATTTATTTTTTTAAATGTTTATGCATATAGACATTGGAGTACAGGTCAGAGATGCAGGGGGTGAGAGAATTCACCAGAGACAGAGAGGGGAACAGAACATGTGGATTGACTGAAATGCAATGCTGAGGGGAGAAGCAAGTGAGATAGGAGAGGTCTGCTGTACAATGTGGTGTCTGGGGTGTCAAACTCATGCTGCAGTGGCTGTGGATAATTTCATGGTGCTGGGCTTTAACCTCTTGCACCATCTAGGACTCCCTACATGTAATTTCTTTTTCTTTCTTTCTTTGTTTAATAGGTTTTATGCTTCTGGCAGGCCGAGTCAGAAAGCAGGAGGAAGTAAATGTAATTCAAGATGTCCTTGAAAAACATTTCAAGAAAAAATTGTGCCCTCAATCCCTGTTCTCTAAAGAAAGTGTCCTAAAATTGCTGAGTAAGTATGCCAAAATATCCAGAGAATGAGTTTAGTTCTCTCATATTAGAATCTAAATATTCTATCTTTGATAGGTAAATTGTCTACTCAAATATCCACATTGGAATCTAAGTTCAGCCATATCGTGTGGACAGAGGGCATGCGGAGACTGGCAGTGCTGGTGGGAAGGGCATTGGAATTTGGCGAGCCAGTGCTGCTGGTTGGAGATACTGGGTAAAGTTCTTTGACAGTAACTTGTTTGAGA